CAACATCAACAACAACAACTACAACAACAGCAACAACAACAACAACAACAACAACAGCAACAGCAACAGCAACAGCAACAGCAACAGCAACAGCAACAGCAACAGCAACAGCAACAGCAACAGCAACCGCAACAACAACCACAACCGCAACTACAACCAGCACAACCACACCCCGCAACACCCCAAACGGCCCCAAGTACCCCAAAGAACAAAACCACAGCGACACCTGCAGCGACCATGACTGTGATTCATTTTCTGATCACCCTACGCCGGTGCTGGCCTATGAACTTCCCCAGGTCCGAAGCTTAGTTCCCCCGAAGCCCCAAACCTTGAGCTCTGTTTTTGAAGGCCCCCTAAACCCTAAACCCCTAAACCCTAAACCCTAAACCCCTAAACCCTAAACCCTAAACCGCCTTATCTGCCCGAAATTCCAAGACTTGTCGAGGCCTCCGAGCGAAGCAACGACTGGGAGCGAGCCGTGAGTATGCTGGAGCAGATGCAGGCCTTGAACATGGGGGGTTTCCGAATATTAGGGGTACCTTATTTTGGGGCCCTTGTAATAAGGATCCTATTATATTTAAGGGTGCTATATTAGGGTCCCCTTATTTTCGGAAACCCCCACATGAGGGGTCCTATAAGGGGATGAGGGCTTGGGGTTGTGGAACTTTGATAGCAACATGTGGCGTTGTACCGGAAAAGAGCGCATGTGGTACACAGTCCGGCATGGAGAGAGAGAGAGAGAGATAGATAGATAGATAGATAGATAGATAGATAGATAGATAGATAGAGAAAGAGAGAGAGAGNNGACAGACAGAGACAGAGAGAGAGCGACAGAGAGGGAGAGAGAAACGGAGACAAAGCCCAGACTTTGTTTTTTTGCCCAGGGGGCCTTCAGGGGCAATGGTTTGCAGATGTAGTAGCAAGTGCCCGGTGTGGGTTAAGGGCTGCTGTGAGGGCAAGGAAGGGCCAAGCCACAGGCCCTTTGGCTGCGGAGCATGGGCCGTCCATACCCATTTTTCAGTCTGCACGGTCATATATGATTTCGTGAGCTGTCTCATGCAGAAGTCATGGAGTGTGCATCTTGCTTTTGCCCAAACCCGTTGGCAATGTTCATTGAATGGTAGTTTCCCTCTTGTTCCTGCAGGAATGCAGGATTTGGCCTTAAGCCCCATGAACGCTCTAACCTCTGTAAAGGCCAGACCCCACACGAAACCTGGAGTCCAGGTGGTTGAGGTCACACCCAACGAGTATAGCTTCAGCTCGGCGATGAAAGCTCTCGCTTCGGCTGTGCAGTGGCGGAGAGCCCTGCAGACCCTCGGCCACCTGGGCCTGCTTAGACGGCTTTCATGTGAAGGTCCTTTGAAGCCTGAGGATTGCTGCAGAGGTTTCAGTATAGGGCATCTGGGATTGTGGTGCCAGAGCTTGTAGATTGAACTCACTTCTCAGGTGTCTGCTTAGTGCATTGCAGTCCCTGCTCAAAGAAGGTGTCTGCTGAGTCTTACTGTAAGTGACTTAAGTGTGTCACGGTGAAGGTTTCTTGGCTCGCCTTTCTGAATTTTCGTTTTGCGACATGTGTAAACTCGTAGCCGCTAGCATTGTTTGCCCTAAACGAAAGCATCAAAAAGACTTACGGTGTGCGCTCAAGCTCACATCGTTCGGGCGTTGCTCTGTGTTGCTCAGCCCGAGGCCTTGCACAGGACCGGCAGTCTTGCAACGTCATGGGCTTCAGTGTGGCCATGGGGTGCCTCGCACAGGAACGAGCGCGGAAGCGGCGAATTGCATCTGATAGGCAGTCCCTATCTCTGTGTCGCGAATCCCACGGTCAGCCGCAGCATACGATGACAGAACCCTCACAGAAGCTAGCTTTATCGAACTTACAGAAGTTTAGGGCTGGGGGATCCCTGGTAGCTCAGGGCCTGTGTGAAGGCGACGCAGTGGGCCGAGGCAATCCGGTTTGCTGTCGCAGGGGCTGGATAAGGAAAACTGACCTTCCGAAGTAGTTCTTATGATAAGTTATAAGACATTTTAGGGTTAAGGGTTTAGGGTTTAGGGTTTAGGCATGTGCTGTTGCCTGATATCCCTGCA